AATCTGGGGGAGCTTCATAAGGAGTGGACTGAGGCTGGTGTCAGTGCATCAAGAACCACCACATACAGACGTCTGCATGACATGGGCTACAGCTGTAGAATTCCATGCGTCAAGCCACTCCTGAACCAAAAACAACGTCAGAAGCGTCTGTGCTTGGCTAAGGAGAAACAGTACTGGTCTATTGCCCAGTGGTCCCAAGTCCTGTTTTCAGATGAAAGCATATTCTGCATTTCATTTGGAAATCAAGGTCCCAGAGTCTGGAGGAAGACCGGAGAGGCACAAAAGTCAAGCTGCTTAAAGTCCAGTGTGAAGTTTCCACAGTCAGTGATGGTTTGGGGAGCCATGTCATCTGCTGGTGTGGATCCCTTGTCTTTTATCAAGTCCACAGTCAACGCAGCTGTCTACCAGGAAATTTTAGAGCACTTCATGCTTCCCGCTGCCGACAAGCTTTTTGGAGCTGAAGATTTTATTTTCCAGCAGGATTTGGCACCTGCCCACACAGCCAAAATTACCAGTACCTGGTTTAATAGCCATGGAATAACTGTACTTGATTGGCCGGCAAACTCACCTGACTTAAACCTCATTGAAAATCTATGGGGTATTGTCAAGAGGAAGATGAGGGAACACAGACCCTGAAATGCAGACAAGCTGAAGGCCAATATCAAAGCAACTTGGGCTACCATAACACCTCAACTGTGTCAAAGGCTGATCGCCTCCATGCCACGCCGCCTTGATGCAGTAATTAATGCAAAAGGAGGCCCAACAAAGTACTGAGGACATAATACAGTACATTAACACACTTTTCAGAAGGCCAACATGTGTTTAAGATCCTTTTTTTATTGGTCACATGAAATATTCTAATTTTGTGAAATACTGGATTTGGGGTTTTTTTTGTCTTTAATCCATAATCATCAAAATTGTAACAAATAAAGGCTTAAAATATTTCACTTTGTGTGCAGTGAACTAATATAACATACAAGTTTCACTTTTTGAAACAAATTATTGAAATAAATGGACTTTCCCTCGATATTCTAATTTTTTGGCACATACCTGTATGTAAATTTAAAAAACATACAAGGAAAGGAACAGCAGAGATCAACAAGTCCTTAATATTAAGAGTTCAAATGTTTCAGGAACATTATGATCCTTCCACTCTGTCCTGCACCAATTTATAAAGTTGGAACAAGTTCAGATGGTCTGATGAACCATGATGTACTGCACTGTACTGTACTATGTTACAAGCTCATATATAACTTTTTTTTAATTAAGCATTTGATATTTTGTGGTTGGGGTTCTTTTTTAAAATAAACATTACTATTCATCACTCAAATAAGCTCTCACCAAATTATATAACAAATTTTATTGATGTCTAGAAGGCATATTTATAAGAAAGAAGTTGTAAATGTCAGTTACAAAGCCGAATTTGCAAAGCTGTTTAAACTGCAGAAAGGTTGCTGCAATATGCAAATTAAACCCAGCACTACTAATGCTAATAGTAATAACTTCCAAAGCTGCACCATCACAGACAGTTACACATCAATCAACCTGCAATTACTGATCGCATGTGCAATATAGCCCCTGAGATAAACAAATGATTACTAATGTGGAAATTTCTTCAGGTTCCCATCATTTCTCTGGTGCAAACAAGAGCAATAAAAAGGATAAACATAATTTCAAGACTACAACAGCAAAGAAACTGTTAGTTTAACTGTAAAAATTCCCACAGTGTGTCACCATATAACTTAAGGGCACTACTTTGTTAGTACTGCTGATGTTTATATGTGGATGTTGTCAAAAAGGCCCCCCTTTTAAAATTATGCAATATTAAAATGTATATTAATGTTACTGGGTTGACATAACAAACACTCCCTGATGTGAGCTACTTTTGTACATTATAAACACATTCAAACCCACGCTCACACACAAAGACTACAGTAAACAGAAGTTGTAGTCAGAGTGTTGTGAACAGACTTGTACAGTATTTTTAAGATACAGCTTTTTTGTAGCACCTAGTTCAGACACACAGTAATTGACAGTTTCTACACTTTCTAATCCATACAACTAAATCAAAATCGTTTTTCTTTCCTCAGAAGAGACAGTGATTGGAATATTAGTACAGGCCAGCAGTCCATTTTGGGCAGTTTGATTTACTCAGGTTACTGGTCATGCAGGTATTGATGCTTGTGATCACAGTGCTTGTCCTCTTTGTGCTCCTCCTCAGAACAATCCAACTCCAGCAGGTTCAGCATCTCCTGTACAATGGCCTGAAGGGCTCTACCCAGGTCCTGGCTGCTGAAGGGTTTCCCTAGAGGAGGCACATGGACGAAGGCAGAGCGGCCGTGGCTCAGGTACAGAGATGTGTAGTAGGTATACTCACAAAGATACCTGGCAGGGGCCAAAACATGGGCGGTAGGCTATGTAAAGTTTGCATAATCAAGTTTCTGCTTCATCACACTGATATCAGGGTAACAGAAAACAGTATTTATGAACAAAATTATGATTTTATGAGTTGTAGATGCGGACAAAAATGAAACCAAATGCTGTCTTTATTATAAAACAAACCTATATACCAGTGCAGAGGTGTGGTTCACTGATGTGTTTTTAATTGTTTTTGAACACCAACACAGGTCTGTGACAGACAAAGAAGCTGATCCAGAACTGACAGACAGATGGACATTAAACATGAGTAGAGGCATTGGAAGTTTTAGCCTCTGCATCCTTTAATGTTATTAATAACATCTTCGCTTTCCCTGCAATTATAAATCAAATTGTCTTCTGCAAAAAAAGCCTTTATTTATCTAAATAGGTTACCTAGTATACAGGGTAAATATGCCATAAGTGTGTGCACATGTGAAGTTTCCTAGATAAATAACATCACTAACCTTCCAGCATCTTTAGACACTGACACAGCAACTCCAATGTCAGAGTCACTGACTCTTTTGCAAACTGCATCCATGTCCAGGACTGAGTTTATGCAGTCAGGGCCATTTTCCATGCAGCACTGAGAGGCTGGGCAGAAGCTACAGTTGTCCAGGCGTTTGTAACCCCTGTTGTGGCCGCACTGCTCCAGAGTGACTGTGGTAGCTAATCCAGAGACACCAACATGGACGACTAACTGCACAGAGGAGCCCAGACAGAGGTGGCAGAGATTACCTGGGGTATTATTTTAGGGTCATTGATGAATTATTAACTATATTTCATGTACTGTACAATAGAAATATGCCTGTTTGTTATGAATTTGCTGGAATACCTGTGGCTGGTGCTCTTTCCACAGTGACGGCAGTAGGCTCTGAACAGCCTGGTATTCAACAGGCATCTCACACACATAGAGGTCTACTGCCTCACCGAGCCCTAGTCGCTCCAGTTCCTGTGGCCAAACATACATCATATTTCATATAGAGTAGCCCTTGATTGCAATTAGAAGCTTTGTCTGAAATCAGTCCCTACTCATTATATAGTGTGTTCACCATGTTGTAGTGGTGCCTGAATGCTGAGTGTGTAGATCTATCCACTAGACAGTGCACTCAAAAATTCCGCAAGGAAACATAAGTAGTGTACATGGCCTGTACACTACTTTATGCTAACAATCCCACAATGCAAATGGAAAATTATTGTCGTGCACTTCTACAGCTGTTAATGATGACACAAAATGCAAATGATTACTAAATGTCTGAAATCCCAATGGAGTGAACAGTAAATTGAGTGTACATTATGTAGGGAGCAGTAAGTGAGTGAATAGGGGGTGATTTCAGACGCAACCACAGTGTCAAGGGGTTACACTGACCACAATAAATGATTCAATGAAATGACAAACTCAAATCTTATGTGCTATAAAGAGAAAAATAAAATCCTTAGCGTAATTTTTAATGCATGTCATGGATTTGTCATCATCATTCCCTGTTTTTCTAAAATACTTCCAACACTGTAGTAATTTTAAACATGATCACTTAAAGTTTTGGATGTAAAATGATACAAGGTGAAGAAGTCCGCTTCAAATGCAAATCATTAAACAGACCACACTTATTAAATTGTGTATTTAATTAAAGCTTAACACGATCCTTCACCTGGCAGATGTGTTCAGTGTAGCCAACCTGATTACTGATTACCTGTACTGCCACCCAGCTGGAGTTTACTGCGTGCTCTCCAAATGGCTCAAAGCCTGCAGGAGTGTTAAAAGGAGAAAAGAAAAAACAATCAAGACTGTTATGGCAATGATACACAGCACTGTGAGGGAAATAAAAAGTTAGTGAGGATGCTAACCTTAACCCTAGCTGTCATGGACAGAAGTGATAAGAGTGTTAATAAAAAAAAGGAATTTTAAGTCAAAGTCTAAAGGTTGCATCAAGTTAAACATTAGCTGTAATAGTTAAAGCACATGATACAGAGACGCGGGATGACTTCTCTCTCACAGTTGAACAGTTAGAGAGTTTTGTGTAAAAAAAAAAATGGTGTCATTCATGCATATCTTCTGTTTCCTCTAAACCAGCAGACAAACCCTTATCGTTTGAAAACAACATTAATCTGTACATAACCTTATTTTTAATGCAATGCCATTACACATTAACACAACCAGATCAACTGTGCAGCTCAGACACAAGTAGAAAACTGTCAGAGATGTAACAACACTGTAATAACTTAACGGCATCATCTGAGAAAGAACTGTCTTTTTTCAGACCTGCGACCAAATAAAACCTCCCACCTGTTACTATTACTTTCTTCTTACTGGCCATTATCCTGACCTGTTATGACAAGAATCGTCATAAATTTACAGTGGAATGATCAAATATCCCAGACAAGAAACCCAGGCTTGTTTGTGCTTGCTGCTGTCTTCCTCTGTGTCACTGCCAAAAGGAAACGACACACCAAACCTGGATGTATTACACTGCCATCTACTGTTTGGGCATGCGTCCTTTTGCAACACTTCATCAACTGTAAGAAATGAGAGAAAATCAATAGAACATTAGCTGTGAGTTTCTTAACCTTTGCATCATGAGTCAGAGCTTGATTTGGAGAGGGCTATGAGGGACTGAGAACTGGTCCTTTTAATCCAAGTCTTTTAATGACATAGGATGTAATTGAAGCCAAATGTAAACCCAAACACAAAAACCAAGAATGTGCTCTGGATTCATAAATTAAAGGCTTATGTGTGGGCGAATATAAAAATCAGTCTCCACTCCCTTCGCAAGTCCTGTGGTGATGAGTGAACATTGAAACCCTGACCAGCTGCTCCAGTGAGGCTGCTCACAGCTTTTACTGGGCAGGTGGGAATGTGCGCGCTGAGTGTGGCACAAGGTGTTGCAGAACATGTTAGCAAAAAAGAAGTCAAAGGATACTACTTTGGCTGAGGAATGGGGGGGGTTTATCTGACCCAACCTTGGACACACTCCATTACCCATGTTTACAGGACAGACCTTCTTCTCAGTTTGTCATCATGAGTGCAGAGCTAATCTCGCCTTACAAGAACAGCTCTTTTTTTTCTCTCCTGTGCTCTGCAGTCCACACCCCTGGGTTACAAAATGACTCACACATTCTGGACACTGCACCCTGTGTGGCTTCAAACTGGCACAAAGGAGAAAATATGCTCTGTACAGGGTGGAGATTTTTATTTCTGGAAAGAGTATTATGAGGTGAACAGCTCAAACCCTTAGAACTTTTCTTTTATTCGTATTTGTACCGCTAAGGTTACAACATTGATTTCTGCTTCTGAACCATATCACACACACACACACACACACACACACACACACACACACTGTAACACCTCCACCGACCACCTACACAACCTGCACTGCGGTCGCTGACAGACCCTCCTTCTCCTCCGTCAACCCATTCACCTTTCTCCCTCCCCCTTTTCTATCTCGCCTGCGTCACTGGCTATGTCAGTGTTGCCATGGAAACTAATGATGCCCTGTCTGCTTGGTGGTGCTGATGCAGACAGTCTGCTGACGTCCTTGCTGTGTTTGGGCGGAATAACAGTATTCTATTTTCACACTGCCTTTCATACTGCAGGCTGCGATGCAGAATCCTCGCAGTAATAATACTGCAGTTTATGTTGTCTTTTTAGTCAGTTCCTCTGTTCTATTATAATTTATTCTATACCATTGACATTATAGGCTATATTGAAGTGTAGCTACATTGCTCACACACTAATGCTTTAAACTGAATATGTTTAAATGCTCGAAACATCACAGCTTTGTGTTTCGTGGCTTTGGTAACTAGAATGTGTGCCTATTATTTTTGGAGCAAACTGTATAAAGAGGCAGGGGACAGCTCCCCCAGCCTTGAAAACACACAGTTTGTATCACTGGCTTTCAACCACAGGCTACACGTGGTTTCCTCATTCTATTGTCAGTGTCTCCTGCTCTTTCCCAGTTTCCTCAAACACTTTGAGACATTTTAAGGCCCTATTTCAAGTCTGGCTCTTTTGGTCATCTTTCTGTATTTTACCAATGATCCTGAAAGCGCTCTAACAAGAACTGTTAGTGTCTTAACAATCAATGTCAATCTGAACCGAGTTTGAACCAGTTAAATAAGATGGCAGTTGTATTCTGCTCGTTCTACTTCCAGAAAAGCTGCCCTAGCCTGAATTGAAGGAATATTTTCTTTAAGGCTTGTTCTTCCTTTCCTTTCGCCTTCGCCTCTCACACCCTCCCCGCCCAGTCTCTGCTCTCTTTTGGCGACCCAGAGCTTTTTTATGCTATGACATCAAACCACAATGCATTGCACTGTTTGTAGTTTACCTAAAGTCTCCATGGCAATAAAGACCGGCTCGGCCCCTTATTCAAATCGAACCGGAAACCAGCGTCATTTTGGGCCAATCTCCGCGCTCTGGAGTGACATAATGGAATTTTTAGGGCTAGAAAACGAGCGAGGTCTGGCGCTGCGCATAGCGGTCGTGCCATCGGGAAAAGACAATATCATCCGCGCGAAGGAGTGAAACACTAGAGCCCATCAGGCACAACAACCCAAGTGGTCGCCTGACAGGGCGACTGCTAGTACACAAGAAGCGGATAGAGAAACAGGATCACATAAAATAAGGGTCAGCTGATTTCCTCGTGTTTGGATGTGCCTGTTTGTCAGTCGTTAATGCGTAACGCTGAGCACTCCCTCATGTGAGGGTGTAGAATGGAAACAACCCTCTGCCCAGGCGCCGTTGTGAATACTCCGAGGGTGTCCAGCATTTATTCCCAGGCCACGATGATGAAGAAGGAAATAAATCTGAACCTGGACGACCAGAACTCTGAGCTCAAGTCAAACCCCCTCCGGGACACAGACGGACTTCTCAATTCCCCAGACTTGGGACTTCTGAAACTAACCTCTCCGGACCTAGAGCGCCTTATTATCCAGTCCAACGGTCTGGTCACCGCCGCCAACCCCACTTCCCAGTTCCTCTACCCGAAATCTGCCAGTGACGAGCAGGAGTTCGCTGAGGGTTTCGTTAAGGCGCTGGAGAATCTTCACAAGCAGAACCAGTTGAGCGAAACTGGGTGCGTGTCTGTGGATAGACTGGAGCTCATCGGGTCCTCCAACGCAGTCGGGACCGCTGGGCTTCAGACAGCAGACCTTCCTGTTTACACTACTTTGAACGGCTATGCAACCAGTCCGCTCGGAGCCACCACCATCAACTACTCCACGGACACCATCCCCTTCCCGCCGCCTCCGTCTCATCTGGCCAGCACGCAGCAACAGGCGGCTGCTGCGGGGACGAGCCCCAGACGGTACCAGACATGCAGAGCTTGGGGGACAGCCCTCCTCTGTCCCCTATTGACATGGACAACCAGGAGCGCATCAAGGCGGAGAGGAAAAAGCTGCGGAACAGGATAGCCGCCTCCAAATGCCGCAAGAGAAAGCTAGAGAGAATCTCTCGGCTGGAGGACAAGGTCAAGACCCTGAAAACGCAGAATACAGAGCTGGCCTCCACAGCCAGCGTCCTCAGGGAGCAAGTGGCCCAGCTGAAACAGAAGGTGATGAACCATGTCAGCAGCGGGTGCCAGCTTTTACCAAACCAGGTGCAAGCTTACTAAACCACAGTGATGGTGCTGTTCACGGATGTTTTTACAGCTCTCAACATGCTCTGAGGATACGGGCCTGTGTTATGAGAAACATTAACCTTTTGTAAGCTAAAATCCTATCAGAGACTTCATCTGAGGACAATGTAAATGCACTCTCCAGATGGAAGGCTGTAACTGAGAAACATTTGCATTGCACTGCATTGAAATGAACAGGCCTTGAAGGGAGCTGCAAGTGAACAACTTGAAAATAACAGGTTAACCAGTAGCAGGTATGGGCTGCATCTTCTTCTGATTCATCAAAATCTGCCAGAGTTATGCAGCAACCAGAACTGTCTTCATCGCCCTAACTTTTGGGAAGCCATGTAGCAAACTGCTATCCAGTGGACTGGTGCAGGATAGCAATGTGTGTAAGCTGAACAATCGACGAGAGGCCAACTAAAGGTGTCTCCAAGTGCTGCCATCCACTGTGTAATATAATGCCTTACTTGTTTACAAGCACTTAGTAATGACAAATATATATATTTTATTTACTGAATATTATTTTTCTTTAAGGTCTTATTTCTTGTTACTTTTTTTTCTCAAAAATGAACACTGCATGTCTTGTTGCTTTAGTGTACAGTAACCATTGTACTTTTCCCTTCGGTGGCTGGTGTGTAGCTCTTCAGTCACCAGACTTACATGAATGTATGTGTACATGCTGAGAATTCCCATGTATCCACATGTAACGTACTTTCAAGTCTCTGACATTTATTAAATTCACTACATTCCTACATGTTTTGCTTCTTACTACAATAGCAGTTCCTGCTTGCTGTATTGTAGCTAGAGAGATCCATTAATGCATCATTTTAAACCTTTACACGTGTTCTTGCACAGTTGGCACTATGTGTAGTAGAGAAGCTGAACCAAACCATAGATGGTCAAACAACTCTTGAGGGTAGAAAACAAGACATTATTGCAGTATTGTGCCCCCTGGTGGGTACATTAGACCCTATTCTAAAACATTACCTGTACAATTCATAAAAACTTAGGGAATTACTGTTGAGAGGACACAAAACTCCAGCTTTTATAATCCGTTTATTGAGTCCTTATTTACAGAATTTCAGCACAATTCACACAACTAATACCAGATGGGGGGAATTAGCTATTTACAAGGGTTATTATTTATGACGGGGGGGGGAGGAAGAGGG